AAAGCAGCAGTGCTGTCAGGAATTCAACAATGTCACAAGAGGGCTATGAGGGAGCCGACAGCTGTGATAGGTGTGGTATTGAGGATTCGGTTCCGGTTTTGTAACCGGTAGGTTGCCCCTAGGGGGCGTTGTACATATATATATTTATGATGCTAGTGTATATAAAGAAAGTTTTTGCCTGGTTGGCTGCCTTAGGGGGCGTTGTACATATATAAATATATATAATATATATATATATATATATATATGACGCTAGTGTATATAAACAAAGTTTTTGCTTGGTTACCGGCTGCAGCGTACCTCGTGTCGGCCGGCGCTCCGTGCGGCGGGTCCGCCGATACTACAGTATAGGTAAGCGGCTAAGGTGTTGCATGACGGCGCGTGATTTCCGGCGATGGTGACCACATAAAAGGGTTGAAATGCGTTTAGACTTCATCATCTGTCATCATGATGTTCAGACTGTGTTGGTCAACTGCAGGATGATGGCTTGCCCCGAAGATCTGCAGTCTATTCTATCCTGTGCGAGCCGTTTCTATTTTACCCTTGCGAACATCAGAGTTTCGTTACTCCAACTGACTCCTTGTCTTCCCCAAATGCGTCTTCTATTCCTTGGGAACCATTTAGTTGCTGTTACTGTCCACCAGTTGTCTGTTTTACGCATTACGTGACTTACCCTGCTCCAGCTCAAACACAGTTTCTAAAAACCCCTGTGGCAAAAACAAAAATCTCGCTACGCCCACAGCCGCACACCTGGTATGATATCGTGGTTTTGGAACGTAGCCGCTTAATCTCAACGCGTGAGCAGTGATGAATAGCGTACCAAAAAGCATACTTTGTTTTTTTGTGCTCGTAAACGCTTGTCGATACGTGACGCGAGCTGTGCAAGGAGGTCAGAATGGTATTTTCTTTGCAAGTATACGCTTACCTCTACAACATAGAACAGAAACACCCCTCTATCGTGTTTTACACTCTATCCCACACTTACAAGTTGCTTCACGATCGACGAGGCATAGGAGCTTACCATTTTCAAAAGCCCGTGATCCAACGGGCAAGGCCTGCTCTTTTTGTACTTCTTCAACTTCTTCTTTCGTTGATGCTGTTGTTTCGGTCCCTATGTGCTGAAGCGGTAGTGTCAATCTCATTCTACCAGCCGGGCACTACTGCCCATATGGTAACACACTAGCACGAAAATATCGCCACCTACTTGTTATTTACCCATTATTTATCACAACAGCGTTCAAGAACTGAATCTAGGCGTGCATGCAATAATACCCGCACCATGAAGAAGGAATATGTCAAGCTTTTTACTCAGATTGCGACAACGTGTAGCGTTAACTCATCGGAAGCTCTACCCCTTATCGACAATACTAACCCTAGCTCTGTTTTGGCGTAAAAGAAGGAAAACATACTTGAGCCTCTCAGTCCGAATTACCAGGAGTGGACCCCTTCTGAGCTTACTGAGCACGTGTCCTTGTGTGTTATCATTGTGTGTTATGGAGATAAAGTCGCTCAAAACCCACTTGTTAGAATAGTTACGTCAAAAATTATTGCAAGAAGTTCTGTTGAAACCTTCATCTGATCCTCGCCATCAGTGCAATATTCTTAAATCATCCAATACATTTACTTCAATAACATAAATCAATCAATCAATTGCAAGAAATCGTTGCACGGGACTGACTAGTGAATAAGAGCCTGTAATGACCCTGCACACGTGTTTTCGTCTCATCGCCTATTATTTGGCAATGTGGTTCCTAGATGCCCTAACTCCCCTCGGTCTCACCACGGCCTAAATTCCTTGCCTTAGGGGAGTTACTATTTCAATCTCATCTGTAATCAAGTACGGTGTTTCGAGCTTATCATGAGCAAAGGCTTGAGCTACAGGATGTCCAGAGGGCCCGCGAGAGGACTCGAAGGCTAGTCATTCCGAACCCCTCGTGGACCTACTCAGTAGCTTCGGCGTTTATTACGAAGAAATCAACGTTGTCTTCCTATGTCTCTCCACCTAACTTTGTAAAACAGTTCCTTCTCTCTTCCTTTTTTATCCATTCTTTTTTGACCGCTGAGAAGCTGGACAGCCCATTATTAAGGTCCATCTTTCAGCTTTTCTGTGTTAATAAATCTTCGTTTTTAGCAATAAAGAAAACAAAGAAATCAATTGTCTTATCAATAAGACTGCCTAGATGCTAATCGGCAAAAAATGGTAGGAATAGTAAACCGCAGGCTTGTATAGGGTAACACAACTGACAAAAACTGAGTGCAAAATATTGATGTTGATACCATCAAAGTATACTGGTGTTCCACCCTTAGAGTCTCAAGTATGAAAAGTGGTGAAAAAAACGCCAGGCCTGCGCGGTAGGCGCAGCACAGTCCCAGCGAAAGCTAGAAGAATGGCCTTTCAGAGCCATCTCTAAACAATCAAATGGCTGCAAGCACTTTTGCTGGTACCTACTACGGAATTCGCTATGCTATCCTTCATCATTCTTCGATTCGTTCTTCGATTCATCATTCGACCTGCCTGAAGTGGGTATCCGCCTCCGTTAATAAGTGATCAAGAACAAGCTTTTGTAATGGGATGGAGCATTGAACGACCCATTCTTACGCTATTAGCATTGTGTGACGCCTGGCTGTTCTTTTGCTGTTTCAAAACGCTTCATTGCTCATAATAACGCTAATACTTTCTCGACATCAAGCCTGCCTAAGGCAAGTTTGCGAACAAGTCTCAAGCACCGGCGGGGCTCCGTGGTAGAATACTGGCTGACACGCGGTGCACCTGGGTTCGAGCACCTCTGTAACCTTGGTACTAGGTTTTTTAGGAGCGAAGCTCCTTAAGGCGTGGGTCTGTGCATCCTCCGATGTATGTAGTTGTAGTGAGTAGCATCCAGTGGCACATACCCGCTCTAGAGCAGGTATGTGATAGACTTAATGCGAGATGGCGGTACTTGGAGTGTTCACTAGATGGACGCACGGTCGGACGTATGGACTGACGGAGGATAGATGGACAGACGCGTCGAGCGGGTATGTGCCACAGGGGATGCGAGATGCGAGATGGTATTCAAGTGTTCACTAGATGGACGCGCGGACGGACAAACGGATGGATGGATTCATGGATGGACGCATGGACAGACAGACGGGGGTATGCATGGACGCATGAATGGTTGCGCGGTGGGACGGAAGCATGGATGGGCTGACGTGCGCTTCACCCCACCCATCATCATTCACTCCGTGAATATGCTGTGATTTTTTTTTAATTTCTTGTGAAGTAACGGACATCGGTGGTGGCGGACAACTACGTTGCCGCGCGGGAGCCGAGTTGTTTATATCTGAAATAGGGATTTTAGTATTCTAAGGTTGCCGTAGAACTGGAGTGTGGGGAATTGTATATGTGGTGAAACCCACGCGCTCGAGGGGCAACCGGGCAACCGTATGAGCGGCTGCGTTTTCCCCGTCCGTTCCATTGTGCCCTGGTGTCCAGAGAATCTCAACATTTGTTCTGTGGTCCTGAAATCTTTTTATCTTATTTATAGTGTCGTTAGCTACACCGTCTTCAGCGGTTGGCGCTGTCACTTCAGTTACTGCTTCATACGAATCTGTAAGAATGCGATAGTGAACTATTTCGCTAGTGATGCCCCCCGAATTGAGAATAGTATTCAATGCCCCTATATAGCCAATAACTCTGCGTGCAGAGCTGTACTCTCAGGAAGCTGACAACTGTGAAAGCCATTGTGTTGTAGTGCAGACATACATACCCGGCTATGCTGGCTCTTTCGTCGTTGATTGCAGCATCAGTTTGAATGTCAATGGCATTACGTGGTCTGGTCTGAACCAATTTCTTCTCAAGTAGTCTTCTGGCTTTCACATCTCGTCTGGCGATAGAACGTTGTTTCCACCGAGTACTTAGCGGAATCAGAGGATTCTAGCCCTGGCAACCGTGGAGTGCGGACGCTCGTCTCTCGGCTCCTTCGACTACGGCGCGTTCCACCGTGCCCGCCCCCAGCTGTGAATCTACGACGTTGCCGCGTTCCTCGTCGCAAGCAGCCAACGACTGCTGTGCGTTTGCTCTTTGCCGCTGCCCACGTCTCTGCAGCTCTGAAGCGGTTCCCAGGCAGCCGCACCTGTTGGGGCCATAGCGGTCCAGGCGTGTTTTTCCTACCATGAGCCAGGAACACCCATCCACCAGCCCGTCCAAGGTACGTTTTCTCACCTGAGCGCCAAGGGCGTTCGGCCTATTACCCGCTCTGTTTCGATGGAGCATTTGACTGCCTCCACGACAATTTCCAACGAACATGAAACGCCGTGGTCGACGGCGAACGCCGACGCGCGTCCCTCGGTAGCAGCGCAGACACCCGAAGCGAATACTGCAAGGCCGGCAACTGATCCTGCTGTCTCCTATTCTTTCTCCCAACAACCTGAAGCCGACACTCCATCTGGAAAAAGGATGGAGGAGGACACTACTCTTTGCGACAACACGGACAACGACGCGGGAGGTTGTTGGAAGACGGTCCAACACAGGCGACGCGCCCGCCATATGCACGCCGAGGCGCAACTCCCCGAAGATACATCCGGCATTTTTTATGCCCTTCAGCAAACCACACGCAAGTGGAGCCAGAATCAGAATCCGCCTCCGTTCCTTTACACGATGAAAAGATAATTCTGCGACCCCACGACGGACTTTGCCTCGATAGTTGAACGCGCCCAGAACTCGCCAACGCTTTATGGAGCGCGGCAGGCTTGAGCACCGAAGATCTTCAGAACATCATATTCCGCCTGCGGCCCCAGCAGAACTTGGCAGTCATAAGCACACCCATGTCACATGTTGCCGACGCATTATACAAGGTGCGGGAACTGAGGCTTGGTCAGCGAGTGTATCCTATCACAACGTATTTTGCTGCCCCAGACAACTCATGCAAGGTCATCGTTCCCGGTCTTGTACCCGGCATGCCGTCGTCCACGCTAGTGGACGAGCTTTTGACACTGGAACCCAGATTCTTCAAGCACGTATGATGGGGCAGACCAACGTTGCGTTAGTCACCTTTGAAGGATTGAAAGTGCCTCGCTATGTGCGATTCTACGGCGCCGAACTCCGCTGCTACCCTCATCGCCCTCGCCAACTGGTTTGCAAGATATGTCACCGGCTCGGTCATTGGGCTGACCACTGTCCCACGCCACACGTGCTTATTTGTGCAACATGCGGGACTGACAACCCAGCCCCGTCGCATCCGTGCACCCTTCACTGCAGGTCCTGCGACGAAAGCCATCCTACATCCGACCCAAACTGCCCACGGCGCGCTCGCCAGACACCGGACAAGGCGTGGGTGCGTAAAGCTCTGAAGAAAAAGCAGCGTGAACTGCAGCCCCCCAGCACATCTACTGCTTCCAAAGATATGGCAACGACTGGACACTCACAAGTCTCGACTCAGGGGACACTGCGAGCGCGTTCGAAGTCTCGCTCGAGATCCCGTTGCAAATCTCAGACCCGTTCCAAGTCTCGGTCCAGATCCCGCGGAGCATCAATGCGGCCGCCCGAGAAACGCCCTCCTGACCAAACTGCACCACCCTCACAACAACCCTACAAGAAGGCCCTGCTTACCAACGCCTCTGCCAATGTGGCCTAGGCCTCCACGGAGACGCAGAGAATCTCGGCGCAAAAAACATCCACACAGGCACCTCGGGAGGTAAGTCGAGCGGCGGATCTCCCACAGCTCGTTATAGCCCATACTTCACTTTCTACTCCGTCCCCTCTCACTACCTCATCCTCTGCTCCCGATCCCCTGGTAGAAATCACCCATTTACGCCGTGACATGGAGGCACGCTGTGAGCGCTTGCAAAAACAAATGGACGCGCTGGTGGCAGACATGGGTACAAGTATGCAGGCGGCCCTCGACCGAATCGAATGGCAGATGGAAGAACTTCGTATAGGAATTACGGAGCAAGTGAAATTATGTATAGAACGTACTCTCGCGCGAGATAATAACATACAAACTCCAGAACCTAGCAGTTAAAGTGCCAGCCTGCTACCCGACCACATCTCTCTACCGCAACATTCAAACGTGGGTAACTCTAACGGGGGTAACCGACGCGCGCATCGGTATACACGCCCCTCTGCTTCCTCTCGTGATGATGATGACGCCGCGTGACCCGCCACAGCTAGTGGTGTGGCAGTGGAATTGTAGGGGATTTCGTCAAAAACGAGGTTCCTTGCAACAGTACGTTGCCACATCCATAAACCCTCCGGATGTCATCCTCTTACAGGAACCCAATTGCACCCCTTCATTATCCGGTTGCAGCCCGCTCTCGGGTGTCTCACCTCTTGTGGGAGCCCTAGTCTCGAAACGCGTTACATGTCGCATGCATACGACGAGTAGCGACATTCCTCATCAAATATTGGAAGTTATTACGCAAGGAAAACGCGGCGACAGTTTGTTTATCCTCAATGTATACAGTTCCCCTCGTTCGCGTACACACTGTTTTACCGTCTGTTAAAAGAATTTGGCAGCCTTGGACGGGTTTGTGTGGTATGTGGTGACTTCAACGCTCCACATGTCGCATGGGGTTACGTTAAATGGCAAGCCAAGGGAACCCGCTCATGGAATTCCATCTGTAACATGCGATACACACTGCTCACCGACCCAGAGCACGCCACTCGTACAGGCAATAGTGTTTCTCGCGAACAGTCCTGACCTTGCCTTTGTCCGCAATACTGGCCCAGTCGTAGCGCAGGGTCTTTAGAAGCGCACCTTGGCAGTGACCAATATATTGTCGCAACCATCCTGTCGTTACGAGGCGCTCGCAGGCCAGAGCGAAATGTGCGCATTACAGATTGGACAAAATTCAGGGAACGCCGCCAAGACCCGCCTGAGGGCCAGGGCTACGAACGATGGCTTGAGTCTCTCGCTGACGATCTTGAGGCCACCACGCGTACAGTGCGTACCACAACTGAGACACCAGACATAGATCCGCATTTACTTCATCTTTGGAACGCCCGGAGAGGGTTGACGCGGCGATGGAAGCGACAACGCCTCAACAGAAAACTTCGGAAACGTATAGAAGAAATTACACGGGAATCCGAGGAGTACGCAGCGTCCCTCACCAGTAATAACTGGCGACAATTTTGCAACCGCCTCTCAGGCACATTAAGCACAGCTAAAACGTGGTCGATTCTACGTTCGCTCACAGACCCCAACACATCAAAGAGAAAAACATTTCAGCAGCTGCACATCTTAATGCACGAGTACCGGGATGATCCTGACTTGCTCCTCACGGAACTAGAACATCAATTCAATCCCATAGGCCCGCCACCACAATACCCTGATTACCCGTATGTGGGTAAGGAGAATGAATTGCTGGATGCCGACATAACCCCGGACGAGGTGCGGGTGGTCCTACAAGACCTACGACGAAACACGGCTCCAGGAGCGGACCAAATCCGATTTTCCACCCTTCGTAACTTGAGTGACGCGGATATCAACCACATTACCCATATCTTTAATGAACACTGGCGCGAAGGCACACTTCCCCAAGCGTGGCGACATGCTGACATTACACTTATCCCAAACCGGGTAAACCTATAAAAGTTGAAAATCTACGGCCCATCTCTCTAACATCATGCATTGGTAAGCTAATGGAGCACGTACTCTTGCGGCACCTGCAACCTTTCCTAGAAGAACACTCTTTCTTTGCTAACACTCAATTCGGATATCGAGCTCATCTGTCTGCCCAAGATGTCCTTTTACAATTACGGGAGGAAGTCTTAGGACCACCGTCGCGCGCCCAAACGAGAGCACTTGTCGCCTTAGATCTGAAAGGAACGTTCGATAATGTTGCACATGAACTTATCCTTCGCAATGTTGCAGAGTCGCATTGTGGGGCTCGTATGTACAACTATATCCGCGCATTTCTTCGAGATCGCACAGCTACCATCGGAATCGGGCCGCATCGATCAGGTACAATCCGCCTTGTAGGGCGTGGGACACCACAGGGCTCTGTTCTTTCCCCCACCCTATTCAATATCGCGCTTGCAGGGCTCCCCCCTTCTCGATCAGATCCCCGATGTCGCTCACGCTATTTATGCGGACGACATCACTATCTGGTGTACACGCGGTTGCGACGGTGCTATCCAAGAGCGACTGCAGCAAGCAGTCGACACTGTCTCTGAGTATGCGAGAAAAGGGGGCTTAAATTGTGCTCCGCAAAAGTCGGAGCTCATAATCATTCGTTCCCGCAGCCCCTCACCTATGCCGCCCATCACTGTACACGTGGATGGTATAACCATACCACAGGTCATCCGTGCTCGCATCCTAGGCCTACACGTCCAGGCGGATGGCAGGTCTAACTATACTGTTTCCCTTCTATCCCGACAAACTGCGCAAATTCTGGCCATGATCAGGCGGGTCTCTAACAGGCGCTCGGGTCTTCGAGAAGAGGACCTGCTGCGCTTGGTGGAGGCATGCATCATCAGCCGTCTTACATACCATCTTCCTTTCAGCGGTTGACCCAAGCGCAACAACTTCGCGTTGATGCCCTCATTCGTAAGCGACGAAGCTAGCCCATGGCCTACCGCACTATACTTCCACATACCGTCTCCTTAATTTAGGAACGCATAACACACTAGGAGAACTACTAGAGGCGCATTGGGTCAGTCACCGCCAGCGCCTTTGCTCACACGTACTGGCCGCTATCTTTTGCACGGTTAGGGCACTCTGTCCCACCACTTGAACCTGAAGCCCGCCCAACGACCTTATCACCCGCCCTACGTAGGTACTGAATATTCATCCCTTGCCGCGTAATATGCACCCAGTGCATGACAAAGGACGGCGTAAAGCTCGTGTGCGATACCTTAACCGCATGCTCGAAAACATCCCAGAATCCCAGGCTCTATACACAGACACGGCGCGCACTCAAGAGGGCTATACATCCGTAGTGTTGGATGGCACTGAATCCCTGAAGGACTCTGCTGCAATGCGCGGCACTAATGTCACGTACGGAGAAATTCTCGGCGTTGCTCTCGCCATTCGACACGCCGTTCGTGTCCCAGGGGAAGTGTATATACTGACGTACTCGCAACAGGCATTCCGGGCGTTCCTATCAGGACATGGCATTCCGAGAGCGGCACAACAAATTCTCAAACAGATCCCGAAAAATGATTCAGTCACACCTTCCCGCATCCACTTAATGTGGACCCCTGGTCATGCCTCGCTGCCGGGCAATGAACGCGCACATGCAGTAGCCCGCGATATTTCCCTCCGGGCGGCCCGGCGTGGTGAAATGACCAGTTCAGGGTGGGGGGATCCTTGCTGCGTTACGGAGAGATTCTCCGTCATTATAGAAGCGTTCGCTGCACTCACCGTGCGCCACCACCATCCTTCTCGAGAGAGGAAGCAGTGGCACTACGCCAGTTGCAAACCGACACTTTTCCTAATCTTGTCTCCCTGAACAAATTCTGGCCACACTGTTATGCCGACAATTGTCCGGGCTATGGCAGGTCACCCTCCATCTTCCACGTCACTATCGAGTGCACGGCAACCTTTTCCCTCCATTACCACCCCTCCTCCGCCCGCTGCGCAAAAAAGAGCTGTGGGATGACGCCCTCCGCGACGGACCTCCCGAGGTTCTGCGAGCCATCATACAATGGGCTCGACACGTCGCCGGAGTCGTCCTAGGGACCCCGGACTAGGGGTCCCTCCCATGCTTTTTGTTCTACCTACATAATAAAGATGTTTTGTCTCTCTAGCGGCATTAAACATGGTGGCATTTTTAGCAGGTCTTCAACCACTGGCATGATTGATTGATTTGTGGGGTTTAACGTCCCAAAACCACTATAAGATTATGAGAGACGCCATAGTGGAGGGCTCCGGAAATTTCACCACCCTGGGTTCTTTAACGTGCACCCAAATCTGAGTACACGGGCCTACAACATTTCCGCCTCAATCGGAAACCACTGGCATCGCGTGGACCCGCTTATCCTATGCCATAACCTGTTTTTTCTGTAGTGTGTTTTCCAATTGACATTGCATTCGAAATTGTGCTTCGCTTATGCTGTTTCGTATTGGAGGTATAGGTACTAGATTTAGCAGTTCCTCGTTTTTCGTGTGCTTTGAAAGTACAGTGATCATTCCGCCCTGTGAAAGCTTTCAATGTCGCTGAGATCTCGTTTGGAGTAATCATACACAGGTGCCCTATACGGAATCCACCCAACTCCCACTTTTTTTAAATAATTTGGTCGTTTCCTATCTACGCTGAGCATTCGGTCTTCTCTGGTGACAATTGTAGTCCGAGGTTATCTAAGGTACTGGAAAGGCTGAGAATCGCTGCTTCGAGTTCGGTTTGCATACTCCGCTCATCGGGATAATCCGCTGCTTCCGTCCATATTGTAATCGAATGGTGGTTTTGGGACGTTAAACCCCACAAATCAATCAATCAATCCGTTCATATTGTAATGGCATCTACGTATATATTAAAACGCCCCGTAGTGTATCTCTCAAGCCTTTCTGTCACTCATGTCAAGGCTGGATTAAAAAATGGCAGCATATCACCGGAGTGAATGATGGATAGTGGGGCGAAGCATTCATCCGTCCATTCGTTCTTGCTTCCGTCCATTCATGCGTGCGTATGTGTGGCCACCCGTGCGTCCATCCACCCGTCCAAGCGTACGCCAGTTCGTGCGTCCACACGTTCATCTGTGCGTCCGTCCCTGCTTTCGTCCATGCATCCACTCCTGCGTTCGTCCATGCGTCCATCCGTCCGTGCACCCATCCGTGCAGCCATCCGTGCGTCCGTCCATGCATATGTCTGTGTGTCCGTTCGCACACCTATTCAAGACTCTAAGTACCACCATTTCGCATTTTTTCAGCATATATTCCTCATATAGAAGCAACGCCATCCAGCGGATATTCCAAGAACTGAACGAGAGGAGGCACACGCACACTTTCTTACGGCTTGCGCTTCGTGTCTACTTCACATCTTTAACCATCTCGCGGTATATACTAGTTCACTGTATTTGTGGCACTGCGGCCCAACGCTCGCTAAACCTTTCTAAAACCAAGGAGGTTGCGCCCAGCGAGTATAACGGAGCAACCTTTTCCTGTCAGATAGTGCTCAATGTACATGCCAATGGCTGCTAATGGGAAATCAGAAACAGGAGAACTCGGCTTTTACTTTTTACGGCTTGCGCTTCGTATCTACTTCCCACATTGAACTACCTCGAGTTCATTCATGGGATATACTAGTTCACTGTATTCATGGCACTGCAGCTCAACGCTCGCTAACATTTCTATATCTAAAAGAAGGTTACACCCAGCGAGTATAACGTAGCAACCCTTTCTTGTCTGACAGTGCTCAATGTAGATGCCAATGGCTGCTTATGGGGATCGCAGCGTGCGCCTTAACTAACAGCCGAATGCTCCTGTCTCTCATTCCCCATTAGCAGCCATTGGCATGTACATTGAGCACTATTTTTATTGTTCAACAAGACACGGAAGAAGTCTCTCATCGGCACCATTTTGGACGCCAAAATATTATACTTGTTACACACTGCAACGGCTACGAGGGACGAACAGGTGCCGCTATAAAGAATTTCGCCCTAAAACGCCAGGCCTGCCGGTAGGCGCAGCACAGTCGCAGCGAAAGCTAGAAGAACGGTCTTTCAGAGCCTTTTCTAAACAATCAATGGCTGCAAGCACATTTACTGGGCACCAACTACGCAATTCGCTATGCTATCCTTCA